TTAATGTATGACAGAATTTACGTTAATTTTAATTTTTATGGTTTTCATTTTAAAATACCTGTTTTACATAAAAGAAAATCTTAGCCAACAGTTAACGTTATATAAGATGATACTGGCCCACCCATTATTAGTAAAGTATGCACTTTCAAAGTGATTTTGAAAGGTGGGAATAAACTTTATAGTAATCCATCCACACTCCTTTCCCCAAGACTAACATTTTTAGGATGACTGGTTACACTGTTAGGTGGTATCAGAACAGAGTTCTGAGAACATTCAGTCCCACATAAAAACTGAACTATAATCTTGGCCTAATTAAGACTGCCTTTCTAAACAATCTTGTTTTTATATGTGGCTTTTAAGCCAGACACATGCAAAGAAGAATCAAAGTTTCACATAAAATATTCACTTGTCCACCATATTTCATATTTTAAAGTTATATTTGGGGAATTTACAAGTTTTTTTTTTTTTAATGAAAATGTTTTTCTTCATCTTTTCAAGACAGACTCCAAAACCCATGCAGATTTTTAAATTTCAAAAGTTAAAATGTTCATTTTAAAATAATTAAATTGGGGCTTCCCTGGTGGCGCAGTGGTTAAAAATCTGCCTGCCAATGCAACGGACTCGGGTTCGAGCCCTGGTCCGGGAAGATCCCACATGCTGCAGAGCAACTAAGCCCACGCACAACTACTGAGCCTGAGCCCTAGAGCCCGCGTGCCACAACTACTGAGCCCACGTGCCATACCTACTGAAGCCTGCGAGCCTAGAGCCCATGCTCCGCAACAAGACTTGAAGCCACGACAATGAGAAGCCCGCGCACCGCAACTAAGAGTAGCCCCCACTCACAAACTAGAGGTCCCACGCACAGCAACAAAGACCCAACACAGCCAAAAATAATTAATTTAAAATAATAATAACAATTAAAGTGTCATACATACCTGAAGTTCTCTCAGATAAATCCTTCCTGACTTCCTGTGCCTCTGCTATACATGCATATAGCATTTTTTTCCCCCAAAGGCCTTATTATACAAACTGCTCAGGTATACATGCATTGCCTTTTGGGTTTAACCATATAAATCTAGCCTATTAGCTATGCCTTGGATATCTGAAGTTAAAAATCAAAAAAAATGGAGGAAATAATTTTTCCCCATTATGTTATCTTTTTGCATTCCATTTTTATTGATTTCTGGCTCTCATTTACTTCCTAATTTCATCAGCCTTGACCCAATACCATCATACTGACTCTTTTAATGCTGTCTCATTAACCACACTATCTAAAATGTAACCTGAATTCATTTAGACTAGGCTCTCTCAAACTATTTGTGTTCTTTGGGGGAAAAGAAAAGAGAGTCTATGATAGTCAAAGAAGGTTAAAAGACTCCAAGAAATCATGAAGAAATGAATTGTCTTATCTTGTGTTTCCCAAACTTTTGGTATTTGAACACGGAATCCCCTTTAATGTTTGAGAAATACAGAATTTGTCCTTATATATTACAGATATGAAGTAAATCAGAGTGATCCTATAATCAGTTGCAAACCTGAAAGCAATCATTCCTAAATAAGTATCAGACTTCCTCTAACTTAAAACCAGATGAGGTATCAAGTGCCCCTAACAATGGGTGACGAGCTGTTACTTAATAGTGCATCTCAACATTGGGTTTCTAGCTTGCAGCATCCGAAGCTTATTTCAAGTTTGCTCACTGTAATTTCAGGAAATAGGTTTAAAATCCCCTTGCACATCTGATACAGTAACACCATGCTGAAGTTTACCACATGGACGCTATGGATCAAATTCTGATGCACAAACTTTTTGGTGGTAAAATGTTTTTTATAGGCAGCTTGTTTGTTTTTCCTTCAAAACCAGCCATAATTGATTATATTAGTTCTAAGAACTTCAGAAACAACATAATAGGTAGGCAGTTTTTAAACGAATTATTCTGGGTAACAGTAAATGGGATTCTTGTAACCATAACAGTATGTTACAATAAAAGACTGATTTTTCTGAAGACTCTCAAAACTTATAATACACAGTCCCCAACTTAAGTTTTCAACTTTACGATACACATTCACATTCAACAGAAACGTTCTTTGAGTTTTAATCTTTTCTCGGGCTAGCAGTGTGCAGTAGGACACTTGTGATGCTGGGCAGTGGCAGGGAGCTCCCAATCAGCCATGCATGCAATCACAAGTAAACAACCGATACCCAAACAACCATTCTGTTTTTCACTTTCAGTACATTATTCAGTAAATTATTTTCATCTTACAATGGGTTTATCAGGATATAATCCATTTTAAATCGAGGAAGCTCTATAGTCTCTAATTTACACCACCCCCCAACACACACAAACATATAGACACATATTATAAAACCTTGTTGATCTCAAATGTATAAAAAGGCTCCATAAATTTTGGGAAAAGCTAAAGAAACAATAAATGGCCTATGCCAAACAAATACAAAATTGTATTAAGACTAACAGGGACTACAGAAAAACCTATTTTAGTTAAATACCTTTAAACTGTCACAATGAGCAATGAAACCATAGCTTTAGTGGATAACTCTAAGTTTTGTTTAAATTTCAATGACAATATAAAAAGCATATCCTAGATCACCTGAATAACTAATTTGTAATTAAACACTGAATTATTTCAGTGCTTGGAGCTGCAATGTGTTGATCACACTGGCACCAAATTGGAACTGATAACCTAAAATAACAGTAATAAGTATTGTTCAACCAGTCCATAAACATTCTCAGAGGTCCTTAGGTTCTCATATTTGAGAAACATTGCTCTCAACTTTTACAAGTACAGTTGACCCCTGAACAACATGGGTTCGAACTGTGTGGGGTCACTTATACACAGATGTTTTTAGTGGTAAATACTACAATACTACATGATCCAGGGTTGGTTGAATCCACAGATGAAGAACTGTGGGTACAGAGGGACCTCGGAACTGCAGATACGCAGGACCTGCATACAGGAAGGAACAATGTATAGGGAGGGTCCACTATAAATTATACAGGGATTTTCGACTGCCAAGGGAGGACTCATGCTCCTAACCCCACAAAAAGAAACAAAGCCCAGGGTGGTGTTCAGGGGTCAACTGCATGCTTACCTATAAATGAAATTTGTAACCCTCTGAAAAGTCTAACTTCTATAACATATTTAACTTGAATTATTACTCCTCCCCCCACAACAAAAAACAAAGCCCAGGACCTCTTTATAAAAATGTATCAAATTTATTTCAATATCTAGTTTCATTTTTAAGTTAAAGCTTTTAGACAATTTTTTTGTAATTTAAGATTCATTATCGGAGTGAGGAAAACATTAATAAGCTATTAATTACTGACAACAAATAAAATTATTAACCGTGCATTTATCAAAGCCATGTTAAAGAGTAAAAAGTTCTAGTTATACTACTTAACTGAAGGAAATATCCTTCAGCCCTTTATTTCTAACTATAACACATTCTAATTTTGACATGATTTACACCTTTTTCACCCAACTAATACTATGCTAAACAAACTTTTTCCAACTGTTAAGCCTTTCTTTACCATTTATGAAATATGACTTAACTGTTACTCTTTAAAAGTTCCTTAAAAGAGGAACTTTTCACCATGAACCTGTTTGATCACCATGAACCTGTTTGATCAAAAAAGTAAAGGACATCACTACCACATGAATTAAAAGAATGGAATGAAAAACAAAAGTGGTATATTATATAATCAGCAAATTATTTGATAAGACATTTTAACTACTTCACATTTCTACTTATAGCACAAGTGAGAATTAACTGGTTCCAAGGTACTACAAGGTTTGGCATTTTTACTCCAAGCTTTAAATCATAGTGTTGCTCTACTCAAGTCATCTCCAAGAAAATGGCAGTGTTCATAAGTACAAAAACTGTTATATCCAGTAAGTGGTATTTTACATGGTCAAGATAATAAGAGAATTCTTTATAAAATTAGATTTTTAAAAATGCAGAATGTCTGGTAATTACCAGTATCTCAAAAGCTAAAATGAGAAAAATACAGCAAATAGAAGTACTCGAATAATACTTTGCTTTGAGGAAGCCAGAAATGACTCTATTTCAAGAAATAAGTAATAATGATAGAAGATGTGATTAATACTGTATCTCTTTTAAGCCAAAGCATGCTTTTCACCTCAGGACAATTCTGATTTTTACATTCTTAATCTCCTTTGTCCAGAACAGGACCCCATTTTAAGCCATTATTTGAATATAGTCCATAATCTAAAGCCATTTTTCTCCACAGGATGTTTTCACTTTAGTACATATGCTGCAAAAAGGCAAATAACTAAGTCAGTTATAAAGAATCTGTAGCATAATAAATGCCAATTTACAGTAACTGTCAACAGACTTCTACACCGAAGCCTAAAAGTTGCTATAGTACAGGTGAGAACTAACATGATTCTTCCACATGCTCAGATTTCGTTTACTAAATAATACTGTCACAAGATCTGAAAAGAAACCTTAATGGGTCCTTCCAAAGCTGCATAATTTTCCAGATGATTTTCCTCTGGTTGCAGAGCCTGTTCATTCCTTCAATCCTTTTTTAGTCGTTTAGCTTTTGCAATATTTTCTTGACGTTTTTGCTTCTTCTTTTGCTCCTTTTCCCTGGCCTCGATCATCTTGGCCAATTTCCAAGACAGTACAGCACTTGCTAGAAACAATGGAGTTAGGGCCAGAATAACTGTCGTAAGGAAGCCATATGGGTCCTTTGCAGCCCATTCCACAACATACTCAGCCCAAGCCTTTATATCAAACATCTTTGTAGAGGCCTTAGGAAAGCAGGGGGTGGGGGGAGAGACAACAAGAGAAAAGACTATGTGGTTGATCAAATTTTGAAAAAGGTACCCCATACAATCAGTTAACTCACAATTCCATTATCACTCAATAGTTTGGTTGGTTGTTTTTAAAAAGTACTAATTAGTACTATTTTAATAAGGACTAATGTTTCTAGTAAGAAAAAATAATTCACCTAGGACAACCAGAAGAGTGACACTTAAAAGATGTGAAGCTATATAAAAGGAAAAACCATGTGGAATCTGTCATAAGGACTAGGCATTCTCATACGCCTCCTATATTCAAGACAAACTTTATTTAGCAGCAGAGTTTTCAAAGAATTTTGAGTTTTATGTGCTCATTCCAGGAAACAGCTGAATCCCATTATGTCATTTTTTTACATAGCCTTAGTACTATTAAGTGCTAATTAACAAAAGTACAATCATCAAATTTGCTATTTGAAAGCCACAGAATATGTGAAATGCCTGGAGAAAGGGAGGTAATGGATGGCTGTTTCCAGGAATGAAGAGAGGGTAAGGGAACCATAATATCCATTCATATGCAAAGAGTTCTATAAGCAAAAGGTGACATGCTGTTTTATGCCCTCTTTCAGCTTTGAGGACTCCTATTTGAGTACATAATTTAGTAAATGAGAACAACTTTAATAGATGAGACAATTAACCATTACAGGTGCCATGCATTTTGTTTCGTTTTGAGGTGGTAAGGGAGGGCCATCTGGCAAATGAGGATGTTGTGGATTTGAGTGACATTTTCTATTTTGCCCCAGAGGCTTTTCAACCTTCATGTTTGTGTTGATCTCTGTTCAAAGTGGAGAATCAGAATACCTGGGGAGGAATGGGTGTATATAGTCACTTAAAATTTCAGCTGGGATTTAAAAAATCATCTACCTTATGCTTGAGTAGTGATCTCTTAACTTTGTCCTGGGATTATTAGCCAGTCACAATTTCAGATGACCCTTGGTTGGCTGTCTTCTTTAGCTCTACCATACACTTCTGAGAGAATGCTTAAATTCTATATACTGGTTGGGTTGAAAAGAATAGATAAAAGAAAAACGTTAAAAGTCAACTTTAAGGAATAATTCTAATACAATTTAAAATGGAAAATTTCTAAATTCTCTATATGCAACCTATAAATGACATGTAAAATCGCCTGGCACATTAAATACATTTAATATCTATTGCTTTCTAATTTTAAGAAAGAAATAATTACACAATGGTAAATGCCCTGTAAGAAAATCCTAGGTTACTGGAGATCAAATATTTTACTAAATTACTTACTTCAAAAATAAAATTATTTACGAAGTTCACTAACATATAAAATAAGTTAGCTCACTGATATGTTACAGCATATCCATTCCCAGATCCTGAACTTTTTATACTAAAAAAAGTCAGTTATTTGTTTATAGGGTTAAGTATACAAACGCAAAATCAAACACCGCTTTACTCTTAAAAGGTTTTTTTTTTGTCTCCCTATTATAGTTTGTGTTCTTTATAGAAAACCCAGAGAAAAGCAAAACAAAATATATATCACCCACAATCCCATCACCTACATAAAACTACCATGACTGGTTTTAATTATATCCTATCACAACTTCTTCATATTTTCAACTGAAGACACTATTAAAGTGCCTAAGATATCGTTAAATATCCTAGCCTCCCCACCCCATTCGTAGGCTCCCACCCACACAGTCGAGCCTAGGCTCTACGGATATCCATCTGTTTATTCAGCTTCTCCAGCCCAGTAATGAATTAACTAATGCAAGATTCAGAGATGAGCAAAAGAACTTTGCAATAAAGAGTAAAGCGGAAGTGAAGGACCCGGTTATGGCCGAGTTTTAGCCATTAACACAGAGAAAGGAGTTACCGTCCACAGGACACAAACCTCCCATGCACCTCCATTTCGGACCCCAAGAGCACGCGCCTCCCACACTCCAAGGAATATTTTCTTCCTTCCGAGAAGGATCGGCCGGGCTTGATCTCCGGGCCAGACCCACGCGGCGCCTAAAGCTGCAGCTGATGGCACCTCACAGCCATCCGCACTTCCCCTCCTTCCTTGTGTTTTCCTCGCTCACCCTTCCTTCCTCACCGCCCCCGGCCGCCCGCCCCTGGGGCCACGCTCCCCAGACCCTCCACCTCGGCGAGCGCGGGCCCGGCGGAGCTCGCACAACGGGCGGCCCCCGGGAATCAGAGGTCGTCCCCGCCACACCTTGGGCCGTCGGCGCCGTGGCCGCCTCCGCCGGGCACGGGGGGCAAAACTGCGGCTGCGGCCTCCCCTACGTCGCGCCCGAGACTGTGGGTTCGGACCCCCAACTCCCAGCTAACCTCCAGGCCGGAAGCAGGAAGGCGGAAGCCGCGGCTCTCCCGACCCGCCCACAGGCCGGCCCTTGCCTGGATCCGGCCTGAGGAAGTCGAGGGGCCAGTTTCCGGCTGCGCCATTGCTGTGTGGGGCCCGGGACCCGGACTTCGAGCCCGCGGGGAGGGCGGGGCGGCGCCCGGGTTTCCGGGGAGCGGCAGGTGAGGCCACGTGGGGCGAGCGGCGGCGCCCGGCTGGTCGCTGGCTCGGAGCCCGAGTCTCCCGCCTTCTGTCGGGGCGGTGTCCTGCCTGAGGCTCGGGTGGGCTCCGGCCTCCGGGAACCGGTCCGGAAGCACGGAGGGCTCCCTACCTTTGCTCCCGAAGTCAGCCGGGGAACAGCCGCTCCCCTGCAGGAGCCCGGCCGTGGGTGGAGGGCCCCGGTGGGTAAGGTCCGTGACCCTGGGAAACTCCAGCCAGAGAGCGGCGGCAAGAAAGGAGTTGGTTCCCACAAACGGCCCAGAGTCAAGGTGAGGGTGACACTGCGACTCTTGAAGGATTCTAGCGAGTTCCTCGGGTTCACACCCCACTCTTTGACCCTCTCATCTTCGGGCTGGACAATAGTTAACGCCTCACGTCGAGGAGACAAACCAGCAGCTGGACCGTGGTGGGTCCATCGAACCTTGTTACTAAGGGAAAATGCAGCCATGCTGTGTGAAGAGGGGTTTTTAATTTAAGAACTTAACTCTTTCACAAAAACATGATCGATACTCGCCCAGAGTAAACTTGATAAATAATTAAACTGTCTGGGCGTAGATTTCCCACCGAGGTACTTGTTCTTCCAATACACAAATAAAGGGATTCAAAAGTCAACAAGCAGAAAGAGTGAGTTAATATATTGCCTTCTAAACTACAGGAACTGAGAGATTAACTCTGGTTTGGTTGGTGATCAGATTTTGTGGTCTCTTGCACTGAACTGCTCTGTTTGACTACCTCTTCGAATGTTGCAAGATCTCTTCACTGTTGCGTGCCAAATAAAGCAGGTTTTTATTCTTGAAACGCTATAGAATGTTCTCTTTGAGGCGCAAGTTTTGACATGTATACCTAGTTTAGGTATAACAGTAACTATTATTTACCAGGGAACAGGCTTTTGGCAAATAAGCTAATGATCTAAAATACTGTTTGTTGGGCATATGTTAACGTTTGTATGTTGTATTAGCAGCAGTTTTTTTCTTATTCATTCTTGTTTGAAAACTTGGATGATGGTTTCAAAGCTTGTGCTGCTTGGACCTATCCTGTACCTGTAGTAGCCAGAATAAGACTCAGTCATTGGATTGTGTGTGCTGAAAACTTGACTTGCTGATGGTAACTCTCTGTGGGTTTGTAAACTTGCCCAAATAGTAACTCCAGGAGAGGGTCAGAGTTTATCTTAATGTCCTTCACTCCAGAGGCCAATATGCGTATGTTGTTTTATTTATTTTATTTATTTATTTATTTATTTATTTTGCGGTACGCGGGCCTCTCACTGTTGTGGCCTCTCCCGTTGCGGAGCACAGGCTCCGGACGCCTAGGCAATAAGTTAGCTCACTGATATGTTACAGCATATCCATTCCCAGATCCTGAACTTTTTATACTAAAAAAAGTCAGTTATTTGTTTATAGGGTTAAGTATACAAACGCAAAATCAAACACCGCTTTACTCTTAAAAGGTTTTTTTTTTGTCTCCCTATTATAGTTTGTGTTCTTTATAGAAAACCCAGAGAAAAGCAAAACAAAATATATATCACCCACAATCCCATCACCTACATAAAACTACCATGACTGGTTTTAATTATATCCTATCACAACTTCTTCATATTTTCAACTGAAGACACTATTAAAGTGCCTAAGATATCGTTAAATATCCTAGCCTCCCCACCCCATTCGTAGGCTCCCACCCACACAGTCGAGCCTAGGCTCTACGGATATCCATCTGTTTATTCAGCTTCTCCAGCCCAGTAATGAATTAACTAATGCAAGATTCAGAGATGAGCAAAAGAACTTTGCAATAAAGAGTAAAGCGGAAGTGAAGGACCCGGTTATGGCCGAGTTTTAGCCATTAACACAGAGAAAGGAGTTACCGTCCACAGGACACAAACCTCCCATGCACCTCCATTTCGGACCCCAAGAGCACGCGCCTCCCACACTCCAAGGAATATTTTCTTCCTTCCGAGAAGGATCGGCCGGGCTTGATCTCCGGGCCAGACCCACGCGGCGCCTAAAGCTGCAGCTGATGGCACCTCACAGCCATCCGCACTTCCCCTCCTTCCTTGTGTTTTCCTCGCTCACCCTTCCTTCCTCACCGCACCCGGCCGCCCGCCCCTGGGGCCACGCTCCCCAGACCCTCCACCTCGGCGAGCGCGGGCCCGGCGGAGCTCGCACAACGGGCGGCCCCCGGGAATCAGAGGTCGTCCCCGCCACACCTTGGGCCGTCGGCGCCGTGGCCGCCTCCGCCGGGCACGGGGGGCAAAACTGCGGCTGCGGCCTCCCCTACGTCGCGCCCGAGACTGTGGGTTCGGACCCCCAACTCCCAGCTAACCTCCAGGCCGGAAGCAGGAAGGCGGAAGCCGCGGCTCTCCCGACCCGCCCACAGGCCGGCCCTTGCCTGGATCCGGCCTGAGGAAGTCGAGGGGCCA